GATATCAAAATGCTGAGTTTAAAGAATTTAGTAAAAATGTTTATGTTTAATGGTATTCAAATTTTTTTCCATATAAAAATCAAAACACTGTACTGAAAACTCCTCGCCTGGATCTATGTCAAGATCAGCTGTTGACCTTATTTTATGCAGTAAATCCTCAATCCCATGACAATCTACTGTCAAGCACTCAAAGACTAAAACTTCAGTTGAGCTGTTCTGTGAATCTTAAGGAAGTGGGATTTTATGAAATTTATAGTATACTACCAATACTTCCTTTGAAGAAACAATTTTTTCAACCTCTTGCAGAAATCCGCAGCTATGATACTGCTTTCAGGTGTTAAAGAGTTGTAGCTTCAGAAAGAGATTTTACGCCTCAGAAACAAAAGTGCTGGTAGTAAATAATTAAGAAACACTCTAGGAATATCATATAAAGGTCAACAACGGCTCCTTTAAGTACAAAAGTAAGCTTGTGGCAGCATTGACTCAGTTAATGCACAAGAGGAAGTAACCGTGAAATGTCTGTATTTCGATTTCAACATCCGTAACAAAAGGGGGCATAATAATAGTACCAACCTGATAAGACCGTTGTGAGCATTAAATGACTGAAACACTTGGAACACTGCCTGGCTTATACTTCAATAAATGTTAGCTAATATTATCATCACAAAGATATAAATTTCGAACTGACACATTATTCAAACCTTTAAAATCTATTACCCCAGAGAGAATTACCCCAGAGAGAAATATTTCCCTAATTAAAAGAAAAAAAAGAATGTAAAGCCGCTCCTTCCCTAAATTCCCCATTCCCTCTCTGCTACCACCAACCACTGGGGCAGCATCAGGAGCCCTTCCTCTCTCACCCACAGGACATCTCCTGGTACAGTGCTCTGTACCAGGATGTGTTCCTTGTCAGTGCACTGTCTTCCCCACCAAGGCTGCTGTGATCTCCTTAAAGTCAGTGATTATACATTGTGCATCTCAACGCCTCCAGGGCACCTGTTCCCACGCATAACAGAAGCTCATAAAGGTGTGTACAGATGTTAAAGTTAAAGCTAGATCAAGACAGCTGACTCCCAGAGTTCTCCTCAATTTCAGTGCTCTTTCCACCAGAACAATGCCTTTCAAATGTTGACAGGGCTCATAGTGAAAAATGTATTCTGTAGCACCACCCAGTACAGATATACGCACTTCTGATCTTTTCTATTTAATTCTTTCCTATTTTGCTTTTTAAAAAATGCTCATCTTGACACACTAAATTGGCTTATGACTCAAACGTGGAAAAATACTGTTCCAGAAGATATATTTTAAAAACTCTCTCTAGAATTTCAAGGTCAAAAATAATTCCTAATAATTTTTCTCACACAATGAATATCCCAGCAAAAAAAAAAAAAAGGTAAAATACTATCAAATAATCAAATAACCCACAATGACTAGCACAGAGCCATGACAGCTGTCACTTGGGAGTGGGAGGAAGCTAAATTTAATCTCCATCAGCTTGTCTAAAGCCACCCAAGTAAACACCCAACCTAAGGGAAATAGTAATTGTTACACAAAAACATCTTGGTAGCAATTCCCCTGGCACCTTAGCTCTCTTACAGCCAGACTGTGGCCCAAAAAACTCTCAACATATGTAAGAAATCCTGGAGCTTCCATTACAATGAATATTTTTTAATGATTTGTGTAGAAGACTTTAATTAAATGTGTTTGGATGGGGAACAACGAATTTATTAAAACAAGTGAATGAAAATCAAAATAAACTATTTAAAATAAACACATCTAATTAAAAAAAATCTCTCACTGAGATTTGCCAATCTTCACTTAAATTGAGGGAGGGGAGTATATTTACTGATTTATCCCCAAGGTGAATAAAGCATGTAAAAGATCATTAAATAAGGTATTATCCCCTTTGATTTGCTCTTAAAATGTGACAGTAGGGCAGTATACGACTTTTCCTCAAAGTGAGCTGCTTGTACAGCACCTCCCACTAAACGAAATGTGAGACGAAGAAACCCCAGTGTCCTCAGAGCTCTTTCAAGAAATGTGTTCCCCTGAACAGACATAAAGCCAGAAACAGAAAGACCAGAAAATCCCTTTCCATCTTTCACGTCCACAGACAATGGTACTCCAGCCCTAAGAACGCACACTAAGTACAAGAACGTTCAGTCAAGCCCTTGGGCTTACCAGCCTAACCATTTCTCGGCCAGGAAGCATGTCTGAACTTAAAGGACTTATTTTTGTGACATTTGCCTCAAATTAAAAGACATTTTACGAAACTTTAATACATCTTCCTGTCTTCCCCCCAAAGAAATCTGTTTAGAACTATGTTGAGAAAAATTTTCTTCTATAAAGATAAAATGCATTTTTCCTAAGAAAAAGGAGAAAGCCCTACCTATTTATTAGCTCGATCCAACAGAACTTTCTGTGATGATGGAAGATCTGCACCATCCAATACAGTAGCCGCCAACCACCTAGTACCGAGCACTTGAAATGTGGTTGGTGTGACTGAGAAACTGAATTTTATGTTTTATTTCATTTTAATTAATTTACATTTAAATATCCATATATGGCTAGCAGCTAGCATATGGGGCAGTGGAGATTAGATAATCAGTGTAAGTCCACAGTAGCTGAGTAACTGACTTACCTTAGACTGAATGCCACAATTTGAAATACTGATATTCAATTTTCAGCTTCCCAATTAATATTTAATTAATTAACATTTAAGGTTTCCTCAGAAGTGGTTTTTCAATACTTTAGTAATTTTTATTCTAAAACATGAATATATTAGATCTGCTAAGCAGAATTCCTTTGGCAATGTTCAATTTTCCATCTGTGAAACTTAAGCATAGGGAAAGGGGAAAGAAAAAACTTAAGCCCACCGTCCTCTTGATTCAAAGGTAAGAAATGAAATACCTAATCTGTACAAAGCTTAATACAACCTCCTAGACCCTTTCCTGGGTACATCTGCTCATCAATTCCTACTTACATTTGCTTCTTTAGAGCCAGCTGTGGCTTTCAACAAAAGTCATTCCTAAATCTGTTTGACCTTTTGACTGCGTTCTGCTGTGATCAGATCCTCTAAAAGTATTCTACCCATGGGAAAACCATTTAAAATGTATATATTAAAATAGTCTATATTTAAATGAGGCAAACTGATCAAATGATCAAAAAGCAGTCACTGGAAGGAGAGCAGAAGCTTCAGAGACTAAAATACGCAGATCATGCCAAGACCACTTTCCAAGCAGGTGGCAAAAGAAACTGCATAGTTCTGTAGTCAGCAAGGAAGAGACACCCTAAGAAAATATGCTTAAAAACACATGGCAGCCTCGCTGTGGCCATAGGATAACTAACTTTAACTTCAATCAGCACCGCTACGCTCCTTACAATCTCAAGGTCAATGCCAAATTATTTTTCAGCTTCTCATCATGCTAACACTTGTACACAAATATTCTACACACACATGCACAAATGTTTCAGTAATTTCATTATTTTTAAGGAGAATGAATCTCAAGATTGTATCTAAAAACACTATGAGCTCACCTGAAACAAGCAGGTATGAAGAACAAAACCACTAGTACTGCATAGCATATCTGGGGAAGCTCAAACTATACAGAGCAAAGTAATTCCACAAAACAGTGCAGTTCAAGTAAGAATTCAGCACCACAGACAAAAACTTGATTCTTACTTCATTTTTTCTCTCTACTGCTACCACCAGGTCCTAAAAAAGGACTGGAAGTTCACCTGCTGTATCTAAAGAGCATTAGGATCTCAACAAGACACATCAGAAAGAAGCAATGCATACACAACCCCAGGGGCTTCAGGTGTTGCAGAAAAATGAATGGCATCGCCAAAAGGAGAAAAGGACACATCTGGGGCAACTGAGAGCATTCTGATCTAGCAAGGGACTGTCAGACCCCATAGAAGCTGTGTGCTGTCAGTGCCCTGGTGTGCAAGGATAAAATCTGCAGGTGTAGCCTGGGCCGGAAAGAGGGAGACAGAATGTTAAATGGGGAACTGCTGTGTGCTTGCTGTTCAACGTCGAGTACCCTCCTCACTCTTCCAAGGTACAAACTACAGACTTTGCTGACCACAGCATCTGCGGCACCATCTCTAAGGAGCTTATCAGTTATAAAATTCTATGATAAAGCCTCAGGGTCTACGACCAGCACCAGAAACCTCAGTGCTTTTTTATTATCCTAATTCTTGGAGGAAAAAAAAAAAAGTCAAATAAATATAATAAACAGCACAGAATTTTCACAGCAGAGGCACAAGTTCTCAAAGTATGTAAGGCTTATAAACAGAAAATAAACACTACTTCTCATTCAGTTCTTTAAAAGTCCACTTCAGAATGGCATTACTCCTGCAGAAATAAAAATCTGCTTAAAGACACTCAGAAGATAGATTAACAAAGATAAAACTTAATTAATATTCTAATATAGAATTATGAACTAAAATACAGATCCGAGTAAAGCAAAGAAACATACGTAACAGAAAAGAAAGCCATTTTTGGCTTGGCTTAAAATGTTAACACAGTACAATACACCATTAAATGAAAAAACTTATTTAATTATCTTAGCACAAATAGGGCTCAGTTCTTTTTCTTAAGGCCCAATCATTATGGGCTAAATATCTTACCTCTTTGTTCTTGAAGCCCTGAAGTCCTGAAGTCCTATAAAAGCCATACCTATTATTCTAGGAGAGCTTTCACGTACTGGTTTTAGTAGATGTCAATCATTAAAAATATTATTTAAGGAACTTATCAATATATAATTAGGAAATTATATATCTGAAAATATCTTCCTTCCTAAATTAGGATTCTGAAAAAAAATCAATGGAATTGCTTTCTAGTTATTTTTTCAATGGTTAAAGCATCAAAGTTTCTTCCAACCAAAGTGTAATATAAATATATCATAGACATACACATTTTAAAAAATCATGGCTCCTGACTTAAGCATAACATTACAAAATTTTAATATGCATTTAAAAAGTGCTCTGTCTCTTACCTGTATATCCAGCATACCATCCCCAGGAAGCCACCATTCCTAAAAGCCATTTGTACATGATTCCTTCAATATACCAGAACCGCTTACTGTTCAGCACTCGAAGGGGCTGAAGCACAATTACATAGCAGATGTAAGATGGAATAGCAACCAGGTTGTTGGCGACCATGAAGGCAAACCTCATCAGGGCTTTCACCAAGATCCAGCCCAACCACGGAGCTTCTTCCAAAGTCACAGCCATTCTCAGGTTGGAGTTCATCCTGTCTTTTGAGGCAAAAAGAAAATTCACTTACAAAGGAAAACGGATTAAAAGCATCTAAATAGTCACCAACAGAGAAATCACCTCCGGCACAAAAATAAGAAAAATCCAGGGTCTAAGCTTTCCCCGCGTAGTACCTCAGCGATCTGTCTGGGAAATTCCAGAGGGGGACAGAGAGCGAGGGAGGAGGAGCCGCACAAGGTCAAGGGAGCTGTTCACGGAGGCACAGGCTATGTCACAATGTATTTGGCAAATGGTAACACTATTCCCACTAATCGGTGGCCGGCCCCGCACCGCGTCTGACTGCAGTCTTCCGTTGGACTTTAAGGAAGAAAAATAGACCCACTTGCTTCACACACCGTCAGGTATCTCCAAACTGACCACAGGAGTGAAAAGACGGAAACATGGACCTCTCGATCAGATTTCCCAGATAACTGCGACCTCGGTACCCTCACCACCATCCTCCTGCACTGATTCGTTCCTTTAAAAGGTCTCTTCCTTTTGCATTATCAATAAGAGTTATGCTAAAATTTTTTCCTTTGCGGCAAATCGGGTCTTCTG